ATTTCCTCAAGATGTGCTAATCAAGTCATAGAGTCTCATTTGCGTATCTGCATACTTCAATAACCTTTCAGTTTTATCTTTTGAACATATATGATCGTTATTTCAAATGATATCCAGCTCTATCGAAACCAAGAAACGTGCTGAAAGCAGTAGTGATTATGCATTTGCAGGGTGAATGTCAGTGCCCAGTCCCACCATCTTCACCAGTTCCACCTCCTCCACGAACAATCGTAGTGCCTGAAGACGACGATGAAGCCGTAATCACGTGTTATGGTTACAATCTTCGACCAAGTGAAATCGACAAATACTCTAGATCAGTGTTCCCTCTCGTCAGTTCTTTAACTTTCACCAAGCTCTTGGTATAGCTGTAACGCACACCGGAAAAGAAACACCTTAATCTATACTACATTTCAACGGAGATTCCCACTGAACTTGAAACTTTGATTTTGAGGGTGACATTTTTTGAGAGTTATAACATTACTTTAGTGGAACATTGTTGAGCAATGTTCATTTGGAAGATATCGCTTATTTTAGGTTTTTGTCATATTCAATCTAATTTATTGGATATATTTCTACAATATCAGTGGCACGCAAGTGGAAATGGACGACTTTTCGTGAGCACTCAGCACGACGTATTAGTGGATTGCTGTGTTAGCATTGAGGGGACACTCGAGTGCGTTTTGGGTTGTTGAGAGAAAGCTACGAAGAGTATTTGTTGACTAACGAATCGCTGAACCAATCGTGATCGCACACTTTTGACTACACAAACGCTCACATCAGCAGTTCAAACGGAATACGGTTAAAATTTGATAACAGCGAGAAATATTTTGAAAGTATGTGGACTGTCACACCGTACGTTGCAATGCGATGATTGAGGTAACTGTGCATATAATTTCTCCCGAGATCTGTGTCATTCAATTTCACAAAATTGAACTGTTGATCCGAATTTTCGTGGATACAATTTTCGTGGATTTTTTTTAAGCCAGTGAAAAACGATGCTATTATAGGATTGAATTGGATATGGAAAGAAGTTCTTGAGAGCAATAGATCACAAAAAGGACATCGCTTCGTTAATTGTAGCACAGAATTTCAGAATCAGATGCATGCTGAGGTGTTCCTTCAAGGAATCCAGTGTCAGCTTCAATTGCAATTTGTATTGTTGATGGACAATCCGCAGGAGTTCTTTACCGATACGAAACTACATTATTTTAACTTTTATCAATGAGAATCGTCAAAACTATTTTGAAAGCATATGCAGTAATCGCCGGCTTAAGACTACAGCTGGGACCGGACGCTTCATTTCAGGTCAGGTTTGATGGTGAGTCTGAATGCAGTTGTGAACTACCGAAAAACGCTTCTATGTCAAGCATGACTTGCAACGGAAGCATTCAATTCATCGACACGAAATAATTGATATGTTGCACGCAAAAGTTTTTCATCGCATCATATACGCAGCATTTCATCGTGTTCATTTCTTCGTTCGATCTTATCGACTAAAGAAATGAGCAAAACGCTCTTGAGGGATTTACGAAAAGCTTTTCGTCCCCTTGATAAGAACTACTCCGAATAGAACGTTAAAATTGATGTGCCATAGCTTCAGTTAGATTCGCAGACGGAAATCGCAAATATCGTAACTGATTAATCCATGAACTTTATCCATGAACAAATTGCTCAACAAAGTTTACAAATTCTACTTTAGATGCAGTCGGTCATAACCGTTTTATTCGCTCTCAAGTGCAAAAACATCGAGGAAAATGCACAGCGAATTCCGGACGGATCGTCATCTAAATGCCAATGAAAATATTCATCGAATAACTGCTTGATTATACGATTCATCAGCGATATGTGCCTGTACATTTTGAGTGCAATAAAGCATAAAATACAACAGCCATTTTGATTCGTTGGATAAGTTTGCTCGTTTTCAATGATACCATCGATTCAATGCCTCATTGTATTCCGATGATGACTTTAATGCATTGTGAATGTCGAGTCTATTTTTTTTTCTCTTGAATTCTAATGAACTGAAATGTTTTTAAATGTCATTTATTTCACTTTGCTCCGTTCCTGTCTGATAGAAGAATTTGAAACGGTTGAATTGAAATAATGAATTTAAAGAGAATGGAATGATTGAAATCGGAATTTTTAATGAGAATTTTAGAGCGCTTAAAGCCTTTGATCAGCTGAAAAGGATGAATTCTCATTTCCTCCTTCGGAAGTATGTTGAGTGGTGACATCAGTGATTGTTGATATGAATGAGGGATTTTTTTTTTTGATGAAAGATTGTAATAAATTCATTGAATTGACTCATATGCAATATTTGATACTTCTTAATAAAACAAGAAAGCAATGCACAATTAACTTGATCAACGTCTACATTAACCCCCAAAACTCTGGTCATAATTGTTCTGGTTAGTGCATTAGAAAGACATTACGCTTCCTTACGGATTTTGAGCAATTTGATAATGA